CCAAGAGCTTGTAACACTCCAAAGAGAAAGGAAAACTTTAAATTGCATCATATGACCCCTTTAACCTGAACATATGGATTTCAGTTAACATTCATTTTATTTCAAGTATCAAAACTGTTTTTTATGGTTTTAGCCAATAACCCTGGTTTGGATGCCTGTAGATCTGCTCAAGTGATTTTTTGTTATTTTTGTCATCTTACTGTTTTTGTCGTCTTTGCATCGCTGCAGGAGCTCAAGGCTCCGCTGGTGAACAGGATGATGTAGGAAACTGAAGCTGTCCACTCTTTTCTGATTCTGAACCGGACTGTCAGAGCCTTGAGAGAGAGAGAGAGAGAGAGAGACAGAGAGAGGATTAAATCACTTTTATTTTATCACAAATTACCTCTCATACAAATTCACAATAATAGTAATTCTCACAAAATAAAAAAATTAAACATTCAAGAACAACTGACCCTCAAAAACCACACATAAGATGTCTTTAAAACACCAAATATCACAAAAAACCAATTCATTATTAACAAGTTTATAATAGGCTGTGCTGTTAAATAAAAAAATCACAAGCATGACATTTCTGAATAAAATAGTTTTATACACTTCAATTATATCTAATATCTTTGAGGAAATACGGACTGGAGCTCTTGTGAATGTTCTACGGTTTATTTATTAAAAGAATCAAAGAAAAGAAGATTGAAATGTCCGTTAGTTACTAGTGCTCGCTGACTTTTGCCAAAAATAAAATTCCAGAAACCAACAACATATAATATACTATAGAAATGACTGAGGTGCAAATTTTAAAAAGGAAATATTCTTCTGATAACTTATGCTTTAAAATGTTTACTTATATGTTACATATAAAATAGGTACATATAATGTACATGCATATTTTCATGTTTATTTTATAAATTAAATAATAATGACATTATATACTGTACATTAGTTATGTACATAATAATACTGTATATAGAGCTGGGCTACCACGCCGACCGGCTTAACGCTAGTGGCTTGTGGCTATGTGAGCCTGGGCTACCACGCCGACCGGCTTAACGCTAGTGGCTTGTGGCTATGTGAGCCTGGGCTACCACGCCGACCGGCTTAACGCTAGTGGCCTGTGGCTATGTGAGCCTGGGCTACCACGCCGACCGGCTTAACGCTAGTGGCCTGTGGCTATGTGAGCCTGGGCTACCACGCCGACCGGCTTAACGCTAGTGGCCTGTGGCTATGTGAGCCTGGGCTACCACGCCGACCGGCTTAACGCTAGTGGCCTACGACTATGTGAGCCTGGGCTACCACGCTGACCGGCTTAATGCTAGTGGCCTATGACTATGTGAGCCTGGGCTACCATGCTGACCAGCTTAATGCTAGTGGCCTATGACTATGTGTACCTGGGCTACCACGCCGACTGGCTTAACTCTAATTAGGCGCGCACTATGTGTAATGTTTAATTAACAAAATGGATATACGTTGCAATCCGATAGATAAGACCCCAGCACCCACATTTGATGACTGCTGTCCACTTCATCAGTCCCAGCGGTAGTGTAACAGCTTGTTAATTCATGTTCGTGCAATGATGAGATGGACAAAGCTAGCCGATGCATGCCATTTTACTCTCTCGTGCAGATAAGAGTTGTCAAAGTTACAGTGCACAAAAACCCCTGGGTGGATTGACCTGAATGAACTGAAATAAAAGCAGAATATAAATGTTCTTTCTCTGTTTTCTGAATTACACAGCACAGCGAGAGCACATTTCTCCGAACTACACTACCCATAACGCATTTCACTCTGAACTAACTGTTACAGCCGTAGATAGTGATCTTCAGCGTCTCCCGCAACACTGTCATTGATATGACTGCAATAAGTGTGTGCTTCTGACGCTGCATGCAGCTGAAATCAACCACACACTCATCACAATGAAAACATCGAGCTTAGAAATAACAAACGTGAACACTGGGATAATCGCCGATGTATATGGTGAACCCCCGTTGAAATGCATACACAAGAATGCTTATTTCATTTAACCTGTTTCATGTCCGTTACTATCGGCGTGTCCTCAGAGTGATTACAAGCTCTAAACTGCATTTTGCTCCAGCTGTATAAGCACAGATGCTAAATGCTGCTGCTAATATGCTTGATATTCGCTCCTGCATACAATACAAACGAATAACATGACACTTAGTTAAACTTGATTACGGTTGCTAATTTTTTTATTCAATTAGGCAGACCACGCAATACACACAGCTATATGGATTAGAAGAGCATTCGCTCATCTTAGATGCTAATTTCGCTGTTCTGAAGCAAGCTACAACTGCTACTGCAAGCACTAATTATATATGTGAATGTTGAGGAGCGAGCTCATTGGCTACCGATACAGGAGAGAACCAATCAGCTGTGCCATGTGATAATGATGTCATTAAGTCAGATTGATTTAGACCTATCGGACTGCGCCATCTAGAGTTTCATGCCAGAAATCTGTATATAAATAAATGCTTGTGTTCATTTGAATATTGTTTATTTTCGTAATGTTTTATTACACACTGAAATTTTAGCTTTTTATTTATTTATAATAATTTTAATCATTTGTAAAATGCATACAATTGTATTATTTAAAAAATCTTTTTTGTCATTGTTTTGAAATTGATATTTTGGCACTATTATGATATCTAAAACAGTTCCAGGATCTGGTTTAGTGCATTATACAGTAACGACAGGGTCGAGTAAATGCTGGCGTTTCTCACCGCTCGTCGTCGTCTTCTCCTTGTGTCGTTTCCCGGCCTCTCTGAAGGCGACGAGCGCTCTGAAATAGGCGCGGATCACAGCCCAGCGGAAGGTGGCCACAGGATCGATTCCCATCAGGCCGCAGGTGAAAGCCTTTCCGCTGCTCTTCAGCAGAGCCACGATATCCGGACGCATGTGATCCGTGTTCTTCTCCCTGAAGTCCTGCAAGACACAGCGAACGTGTCATATACTTACTTACACACACACACACACTCTCACACTCACAGTCTCACACTCACTCACACACACACACACTCACACTCACACACACACGCACTCACACACTCACAGTCTCACACTCACACTCACTCACACTCTCACACTCACACTCACAGTCTCACACTCACACTCACTCACACTCTCACACTCACACTCACAGTCTCACACTCACACTCACTCACACTCTCACACTCACACTCACAGTCTCACACTCACACTCACTCACCCTCTCACACTCACACTCACAGTCTCACTGTTCTGAAGCAAGCTACAACTGCTACTGCAAGCACTAATTATATATGTGAATGTTGAGGAGCGAGCTCATTGGCTACCGATACAGGAGAGAACCAATCAGCTGTGCCATGTGATAATGATGTCATTAAGTCAGATTGATTTAGACCTATCGGACTGCGCCATCTAGAGTTTCATGCCAGAAATCTGTATATAAATAAATGCTTGTGTTCATTTGAATATTGTTTATTTTCGTAATGTTTTATTACACACTGAAATTTTAGCTTTTTATTTATTTATAATAATTTTAATCATTTGTAAAATGCATACAATTGTATTATTTAAAAAATCTTTTTTGTCATTGTTTTGAAATTGATATTTTGGCACTATTATGATATCTAAAACAGTTCCAGGATCTGGTTTAGTGCATTATACAGTAACGACAGGGTCGAGTAAATGCTGGCGTTTCTCACCGCTCGTCGTCGTCTTCTCCTTGTGTCGTTTCCCGGCCTCTCTGAAGGCGACGAGCGCTCTGAAATAGGCGCGGATCACAGCCCAGCGGAAGGTGGCCACAGGATCGATTCCCATCAGGCCGCAGGTGAAAGCCTTTCCGCTGCTCTTCAGCAGAGCCACGATATCCGGACGCATGTGATCCGTGTTCTTCTCCCTGAAGTCCTGCAAGACACAGAGAACGTGTCATATACTTACTTACACACACACACACACTCTCACACTCACTCATGCTCACACGCTCACTCGCGCTCACACTCACACACACACACACTCTCACACTCTCACACTCACAGTCTCACACTCACTCACACACACACACACTCACACTCACACACACACGCACTCACACACTCACAGTCTCACACTCACACTCACTCACACTCTCACACTCACACTCACAGTCTCACTCACACACACACACACACACACACACACACACACTCACACACAGAAGAGATGTGGTCTGAGAGTCTCTGAAGCATGGTTTCTCACCCTGACGCTGTATTTGACTTTGCCGGCGTAGTGTCGGATGATGAACGCCGGCTCCATGACGGCAGGAAACTCGATGTAGCCGTTTCCCTCGTGCTGCCGCTTAAACTTATCCAGCAGAGTTTGATTAGACGCCTGCGGAAAACTACAAACCAACCACAACAACATTCACATTTATACAAACACTCCAGTCTTTAATATGTGATCACTATTTCATGATAGAATTGTTACTAGACAGAAATAGATTTATAACAATAATGTATCTATTAACAGTCTGTTGCTCATATTATATTTATATTTGTATAAAATTAACTTCTTTACTAAAATCAAAAGTAATTTTTTTATTTGATATATTATTTATAATATATCAATGTTTGACATTTATTTAAAATAATCTATTCAGGCTTTTATCCTTTCATTCAGGGTTATTATAGTTAACTGAAACTAAAACTAAAGCCATAAAAAAAAAAACTTAAAACAAAATGAAAATTAACTGAAATAATATTATTATGCTGGTTGGCAATGCAACTTTTCCTTTATTTTAACCTGAAGTACTAAAATAACTAAAACTGAAATAAAAATAAAAATTATAAATTAAAAATTATAATAAAAACACACATATATATATATATATATAAATAGCAAATGCATATAGGATTTACAAATAAATATGAAATATTAGTTTTCAAAGTTTGATTAGTAAATATACACATTTTAAATACACAAATATAAAAATAATCACAATATTTACAAGAACAGAGCATAAAATAAAATAAAAAAACTATAGACATATTTAAAAAAATGTTTTTATAAAATGATAAACAAAAAAGTATAATAAATAAAAATACAACAAAAATGACTAAAAATTAAAGTGAATTAAATTATTTTTTTTTTTAAATGTATAAAAACTATACAGATTTTAAAAAATTATTCAAAAAACTGCAAAAATACTATAAAAATAAAACTGATTTTAATATTTGTGATGACTATCCAGTTTTCTGATGCTACAACAGTATAACAAACAACAACGATAATGATAATAAAGAATTAAATAAACGTTACTGTGACTAAATCCAATGGAATCGGCTTCTACTGTATCTTAATATATACCTCACATTTCTGTGAAATCCAAACAAGAATACTTTAATGAAGGAAAAGTGAGGGAAACACATAATGTGCTGCATGATAACTGTGAGAGCTGGTTCTGTCAGACAGGCTTCAGATGTCAGAGACTCACTTGCACTCCTCGTCCAGCAGGTGAAGCAGCGCGGTGGGTTTCTTACTGATGAGCTCGATGCAGGCCGTGTTGTCGATGTAGTCGATCATGTGCCAGCTGATGCCCTCCGACTGATACTCCTCCTGACACACACACACACACACACACACACAAACACACGCACAAACACACACACACACACACACACAAGCGTGCACAAACACACTCAAACACATGCACAACCACACGCACAAATGTGCACAACCACATGAACAAACAGACGCACCAACACACGCACAAACGTGCACAAACACACACACAAACACACGCAAAAAACACGCACAAACGTGCACAACCACATGAACAAACACGCGCACCAACACGCGCACAAACACACGCACAAACACACGCACAAACACACGCACAAACACACGCACAAACACACGCACAAACACACGCACAAACACACGCACAAACACACGCACAAACACACGCACAAACACACGCAAAAAACACACACATACGTGCATAAATGTGCACAAACACGTGCACAACCACATGAACAAACACACGCACCAACGTGCATAAACATGCAAAAACACACGCACAGACGTGCACAAACACTCAAGCACAAACACACACACAAACACACACAAACACACATGCACAAACGTGCACAAACACACGCACAAACACACTCAAACACATGCACCAACACATGCACCAACGTGCACAAACACATGCACAGACTTGCACAAACACACACACAAAAACACGCACCAACACACTCAAACACATGCACAAACACACACACAACCACACGCACAAGCGTGCACAAACACACTCAAACACATGCACAACCACACGCACAAATGTGCACAACCACATGAACAAACAGACGCACCAACACACGCACAAACGTGCACAAACACACACACAAACACACGCAAAAAACACGCACAAACGTGCACAACCACATGAACAAACACACGCACCAACACACGCACAAACGTGCACAAACAC